GACCCAATATTTACACATTCTTGTTTCTTCTAGAATTGTATTTATAAAATTGTAATATGATTTGATTTCTATATAAATATGATCCAGTAATATGTCTTTATCAAGAATTATTTGTAGATATATTACCCAGAGTAAAATGATTGTAGGGATTGTTTCAAAAGTTTCGTCAAGATTATCAAATTCTTTTGTAAAAGAAAGGTGTATAATTCCAAATGATTCTTCTTCCACCAACCCTCCTTTCTATATTCTGTATATATATTTTTTTTTTAATAATAATTTTTGTTTGTCCTTTTTTAGATATGTAAATAAAATAGTAATATAAAAATACATAGACCAAACTCATTACCATGGTTAGGTGAAACTTGGCAAGTGTGTAAATCGAATTTCTTTTATATATTACAAAACCGTAACTCATTTTGTAACGACGCATCTTCTTCAGCCTTTTCCAAAACCCTCTCTTCAATACCAAAGCTCATAACTTTCGACCGCCGGAGAAAATGCCAGTCGACGAATCTTCGCCGGCCGGGAAAACCGTTTGTGTCACCGGAGCCGGTGGATACATCGCTTCTTGGATTGTTAAATCACTTCTTGAAAGGGGCTACACCGTCAAAGGAACCGTACGGAATCCAGGTTAGTATATCACTCTGATAATAATCTAATTTTTTAAGGTTAGTTAGTATATTGAATATCGGATTTGATTATTGGGATTTGTTGCAGATGATCCAAAGAATACACATTTGAGAGAACTTGAAGGAGCAAAAGAGAGATTGATTCTATGCAAAGCAGATCTTCAGGACTACGAGGCTCTTAAGGCGGCGATTTCTGGCTGCGACGGCGTCTTTCACACGGCTTCTCCGGTCACTGACGATCCCGTGAGTACTTTTGCTGAGAAAATTGAATAATTTGAAGGACCTACATGCAATAAATAAAAAAATGAAAGTGCTGTAGTGGAGCTGATTTCTTTTTTATTTTTTTGTCGTGAATGTGTGGTTATCGAATCGCTTTCAATCATTTAGAAGATTTTTTTCCAATACGAAGTAGTAGTTTGGTATAGTATTTTATTTATTTATTATATTTTCAAGATATTGAAAAATCCGAGGAAAATCACCATCCTCATTTTCTTGTAATGAATTTATTATTATGGCGTTTGACTTCAAAGAGTAGAAAAGATGATTAGAAATTAGTATCTTGTTGGAAATGCTAATCAACGAATCTTGTTATATTAAATTAGGTACTGACCATTTTTAAATGTATAATGAAATTTTCAGGAGCAAATGGTGGAGCCGGCCGTGAACGGAGCAAAATTTGTAATTAACGCTGCGGCTGAAACCCAGGTCAAGCGCGTGGTCATCACCTCCTCGATCGGTGCCGTCTACATGGACCCGAACCGTGACCCCGACGCGGTCGTTGACGAAACTTGTTGGAGTGATCTTGAGTTCTGCAAAAACACCAAGGTAAATTAAGTTTTGAATGGAACTGTCCCGTTTAAACGAAATACTTATATATATATATGTGCATGCATGTATATATTTTTGTTACCATTTCCGCATATATCTCTTCCAGTACCGCATTATCTCA